TTATGTGGGGGATCCATACAAAGATACTACTAGAGGTGGGTCCATCCTGGTGGAGGACCAATAATACAGATCTTATGGATATATGCAATTGGAGTGAGGTGTGGAGGGTTATAGAAATTGAGTTCCTTTGAGGGCTCATCCTGGAACATCATAGGATTATATTAAAGGTGCTTCCATCTGTAGTGGGATCTTATCAGGGGTGGACCCATTCCCAATCGGATTCTATGGAAGGTGGATCCACATGTAATATGATTCTCTCGGAAGTGGATCCATCTGTAGTACGATTATATGAGAGGTGGGTGTCTTTTGCGATGACGATGATGATGATGACGAGCATGTGTTTCAAGATGCTGCTGACGATGATGATGATGATGATGAGCATGTGTTTCAAGATGTTGCTGATGATGATGGTGATGACGAGCATGTGTTTCAATGCGCTGCTGATGACGATGGTGATGTCGAGCATGTGTTTCAAGATGCTGCTGATGACGATGGTGTTGACGAGCATGTGTTTCAAGATGCTGCTGATGACGATGGTGCTGACCAACATGTGTTTCAAGATGCTGCTGATGACGATGATGATGATGATGATGACGAGTATGTGTCTCAATATGCTGCCCATGACGATGGTAACGACGAGCATGTGTTTCAAGATGCTGCTGATGACGATCATGATGATGAGTATGTGTTTCAAGATGCTGCTGATGACGATGGTGATGACGAGCATGCGTTTCAAGATGTTGCTGATGATGATGGTGATGACGAGATGCGTTGGGAGCAATGCGTTGTCATAATGAGTTCCACAGAGCATAATCGAGTGGGAAGCACAGCCCACTAGACTAAAGTTATCCTCTCTTTACCCTTTTTCCTCCTCCTCCTCCTCCGCCTCCACCTCCGTCTCTTCCCCCTCACCCCTCTTACTTCCAGTGGGTGAGCGCCGAAGCGCGTTCCAGAGAGACTAATAAGCCTTAATATCTCGATTCTCCGGCCTCTGGAGGCCCGAAACAAACATTAGCGGATTACACATTGATTTCTTTTGTTGTTGAATTACAAAAGGGAACCCTTTTGTTGTGAACTACACATTGTTTTATTGTGTGGCAGATTACAAAAGGATTCCTTTTGTGGGGAATTACAAAAGGATTCTTTTGTGGAGGATCACATGATGATTCCTTGTTGTGGCGAATTACAAAAGGGAATCCTTCCGTTGTGAATTACACAAGGATCTCTTTTGTGGAGGATTACAAAGGGATTCCCCTTGGTGGAGGAATACAGAAGGATTCCTCTGTGGAGGATTACAAATTGAGTTCCTTTGAGGGCTCTCCTGGAAGTGAACCAGGGGACAAAAGAGAAAAAAAAAATCAAATCCGAAAATGTTTGAACATTTTAAAAATTGTATGTTTCGAATGAATTTCCAATGTTTTGAAGCAGAAACATATAAAAACACAGCATTTCCAAGGTTTTGAGGCCGAAACCATATTAAAACACAGCATTTTTGCATTCGGATTGTGAAAAGGATGTGTTTTTTATATGTTTTTGCTTCAAAGCATTGGAAAATCATTGAAAACCTGCAACTTTTTAAATATTCAATGATTTTCGGATGTTTTTTTTTTTTTGTCCCCTGGTTCACTTCCAGGAGAGCCCTCAAAGGAAATCAAGTTGTAATCCTCCACAAAAGGAATCCTTATGTATTCCTCCACCAAGGGGAATCCCTTTGTAATCCTCCACAAAAGGGATCCTTTTGTAATCCTCCGCAAAAGGAATCCTTTTGTAATCCGCCACAAAAGGAAACAATTTGTAATTCACCATGAACAGAATTCCCTTTTAATTACCCACAGAAGAACTCAATTTAAAATGTGCTACAACAGGAATCGTTCTGCATTCCACTACTTTGAGCAATCCCTTTAACGATGACGAAAAGCATAATCAACAGGAAAACAAACACATCAGAAGTAATAGACCAAACACCGAGGTGGTACACACACACACACACGGTTTTATCAACCTTACGGGGGGGGGGGGCACGCACCGCAGCTGGATGTGCCCCAAGAACGAAGGGGAGTAGGCTTGCATCATGTCCGACGACCTGCTCCCAGAAGCGGTGGCGCAAGCGAGCAGTTGTGACGCATTCTGGCTACGGGGGCTCATCCCTCGGAGCTGGGTCGCGGTGTCGGCCCCTCCCGCCCAGGATTCATGGACGGTGGAGGGTATCAATGGGTTCGGCCCAGGCGCCCTCGGTTGTGGATCAGCAGGCCGGCCCGTGTGGTTGTATGAAGACGCCTCGGGAGGTCCCGACACGGCTATCCCGAAGTTTCGGCGCGTCGGATTCGCTGTCGTGCGTATGGATGGACAGCAGCGCATCTCCGCAGTGCGGGGGGGGCCTGGCAGGATTTAGACAGACTGTCCATCGTGGCGGGCTCAAAGAATTTGTGACGGCGTTGCAAGGCAGCACTGGCAACACCGTGTACGCATCGGACTGTGAGAGTGTGGTTGCTGGCTGGTTCAATCGTGTCCACCTTCGGCCGAAGGGTGAAGATGCTGACCTGTGGGAGCAAGTCCGTCTGGCATCTCGTGGCCGCCAAATTACGGTTGTCTTTGCGTTCTCGCACTTGTCTGACGCAGAGGTGCAGACGGGCCAAGGCATCCCACTCCTGGTTCATGGCAACCGACAAGCTGAACAACAGGCTGGCCTGGCAGCGAAGGAGACGAGGCTGGCGGAGAGCGAGATGGCCCACGTGGTGAGGGTCGAGAGCAAGGCGCGTCGTGCGCCTGAGGCTGCTACGTGCAGCGTTGGGCAGCACGGCGGCGACCAAGGCCGCGGAGCGTGAGGCCAAGGTGAGCCAACGCGTGCCTCTCCCCCCTCCGCCCCCTCCTGCCGCTGCCGCCGTCTCGTCTCTCATGTCTGGCCATGTGCTGGCCGAGTGTAGGCAACGATGCACGACGTGCTATTCGTCAGCCTCCAACGCCACGCTCCACGAATGGTGGGGGACCCCGTAGGTTGAGCTGTATAATGTCTACGGTCTTATCTGTTTCCCGAACATCGGGCACCGTGTACACAGAATGGGAGGCTGGGCGCACCAGACACACTCTTTAAATGTCCATAGCGGCCTAAGGGGGTGGTTTTGCTGCCTCTGTGGGGCCATAGCTGAGAAGCAGCTGTGTTCCCTGGGGCAAGTGTGCAAGGGCAAACTCGGTCTTACCAAAGCGCGCAAGGAGTACCTCGAGAGGATTTCGGTGGGTAAGACCCCCAAAGTCATAAGCCGAGCTGAGCAGAAGGTCAGGCTCTCGAGGAAGGCTGGTTGAGGTGTAGAGGCTGGGTACTGGCATCGCCACGGGGTCTACTCCACTCCACTCTTCCTCCTCCTCCTCCTCCTCCTCCTCCTCCTCCTCCTCCTCCTCCTCCTCCTCCCCTCTCGCCCTCCCTCGCCCTCGTCCGCGTCCTCCTCCTCCTCCTCCTCCTCCTCCTCCTCCTCCTCCGCCTCGTTCCTCTGCCCCCTCCTGAGCGCCGCGCACGCTCGTGCTGCAATCTCGCAGCAGTTTGGCGGATGAGGGCATGGCACACCGCTCACACATTTCGTGGCCCCTTAGGTAGCTCCACCGAAGGCCCGAGCGGGAGAGTTCCCATGGCGCCACCGTGCCTATTTCAATACACCCCTAGCACGCTTCGTGGCCCAGCCCCACCGAAGGCCCAAATGACAGTTTCGAATGGCGCCACCGCACCGATTTCAGCACACCCCTCACACGCTACCTGGCCCAATAGGTAGCCACACCGAATGCCCAAGTGGGAAAATTCGCATGGGGCCACCGCGCCCATTTCGGCACACCCATCACACGCTTCGTGGCCGTACAGAGAGCCCCACCGAAAGTCCAAATGGCAGGGTTTGCATCGCGCCACCGCGCCCATTTTGGCACACCCCTCACACGCTTAGTGGCCGCATAGGGAGCCCCACCGAAGGCCCCAGTGGCAAGGTTCGCATGACGCCACCGCACCCATCGCAGTGCCCCCCTCACCTGCTTCGTGGCCCCAGAAGGAGCTTCACCCAAGGCCCCCAAGCACCCATTTCGGCACACCCCGCACACGTTTCGTGGCCCTATAGGGAGAGTTCGCGTGGCGCCACCGCGCCAATTTCGGCACACCCATCACACGCTTCGCGGCCCCCTGGGAACCGCGAATATCTGATCCATGGTTGTCACCCCCTGTCCCCCCCTCTCAATGCATATGGGATCGAGCCCCCCCCGGGGATGGGTACGCCCTTGAGTCTTGCGAAAGCCTAGCGAATGGGGTCGTGTCCCCCCCCCCTTTGGTCGTAGCCCTGTGAGCGTGGCGTGGTGGAGGGTGATGGTGCGCCCCCCCGCCCTCCCCCTTGTGAGTGGTGTGGGGTGATTTTTGTTTCATTGTCGTCGTCGTCGTCGGCCGAAGGCGGCGGCGGCTGTGTCGACGGTGGCGTCGGCGGCAGAGTCGTCGTCGGCGTCGGCCCATCCCATCTGGGGGAGGGGGCCTGTAGAATCGTGAGATTCATCCCATCTGGGGGGTTGGACCTGTGAACCATCGACCTTGGCTCATATGTACAGTCAGGTAGCTTGGCCATGTCCAATGGGGCTTCGCGGAAACTGCATGGGACACCGTATTGGGCATAACTTCCTGGCCGGTTCTCTTGGCGACAGGTGTTGAACAAATATTAGCACTGCGTTCGGGCCGCAGTTTGCCACTGAGTATGATGGACATACTCCTTTGACGGCGCGCACGAAAGGGGGTAAGGGGAGGGGGGAAGGCTTCTAAGAATGAGGCTGCTTCTTAGAAGGCGCTGGCCCTACATCTGTAGGTAAGGCCCGCTCCTTCTATGAAGCAGGGTTGTTTCTGAGAAGCCCCCTCCCTCCCCCCTGCCCAGCCTTCTGCGCGCGGCTGACTCCTGGCCCCGACCCCCGCCGTGTTCACCATCGATCTGTGCTCGCGGCCCTCGCAGGCTGGCGGCGGCGGCGCCCGCCCACGGTGGGGGGCGCGCCAGCTGTTCACGTGCCTCGCGCGGGTGGCGGAGCAGGGGGCAGGGGGTGCTGGGAGGAGGAGGGAGGGGGGGCAGGAAGTGCGACCAGGGGGAGTGGGGGAAGGAGGAAGGCGCACGTGGAGGGCAGGAAATCCACCCTCACGATAAAAGCAGCCCGACACGCGAAACCGCCTTATAAGCGCACACAAGGAGGGGCACGGGCAGGGGGGTGCGGGAACGGAAGGGGGAGGGGCAAGGAGTGCCACCAGGGCCCTGAGATCTTGGCGTTGCAATGTTTTCACAGCGGGCGATTTACGGTCCCTGGGACCATCACAAATCGATTCGACTCGAAACATGCAGCAGGATGATTGGGTCTAGGGCTCCAGTCGTGCTTTGTTGTAACATCGCATATCCGAAGTGAGTGAAAGGGGGAAGCACGTAGATAGCAAAATATCCACCATCATCAGAGGCACTCACTTTTAGACAAGGCTGTGTGGCCAACGCCCGGGACTGTTTAGCAAACGTCAATGATGGGGGGTCGGGGTTTGTTTTTTCCGACCTCGAGCGCGAGCAATGGAGAGGAGGATGGAGGACTCAAGACTCAAGACGTGGCGAGGCCCGCGCGTGGGGGCTAGGTCCCAGAAGAGAAAACACGACGCGGCAGGAGGCGGAGGCGGAGGAGCAGGAGGAGCAGAAGGACTGGGAGGCGGAGTGCGATGATATTCCTTTATCAGGCCCCCATGTGAGTGCACTGGACAGGGAGCCCACTAAGACGGCCAAAGATGGTTCCAAGATGGCCCAACACGGCCCAAGAGGCTCCCAAGAGGTCTCCAAGACTGCCCAAGAGGCTCCCAAGAGGGCCTCCAGGAAGGCCCGAAGAGGCCACAATCATTGATTTTCCACTGGTCTCAAACAGATTTTGGCATATGTTTCGTTTCGGCCTTCCGATGATCCGAGACGGCCCAAGAGCCTCCAAAGATCGCCCACAAGGCCTCCCAAATGGCACCATAATGGCCCAAGAGGCTCCAAGACGGCCCGACGAGGGCCCCAAAACGGCCCAAGAGGCCTCCAAGACGCCCAAGATGGCATCTAAGACGGCCCTGGAGCACCCCAAGAGGGCCTCACGTCGGTCCAGACGACGGCGTCAGACGGGCCACGAATGCCCTAAGACGGCCAAAGAGGCACCCGAGAAGCCCCGAAAGGTCCCCGAGAGGCCCAAGGAGGCCCCAAAGATGCCTCCAAGAGGTCCCCAGGAAGCTCCCAGGAGGCCCCAAGAGTGCCCCCAGAGACTCCCAAGATGCCCCCTCCTCCTCCTCCTCCTCCTCCTCCACCTCCTCCTCCTCCTCCTCCGCTTGATCTTCCTCGCCATCCTCCCCGAAGTGTTCCCCGAAGGGTTGCCACGACGGCTGGAGGAACACATGGTCCGATAGCTTGGCAGAGCTCTTACCACAACGCTCGGCCACATGGGCGATTCCAAAGGCAGGGGGCGGCGGTGATTCGCCGTAGGCGTCTTTGATAACTTCTCTGATCTGAGGTCCGCGTGGATGCCTTGGATCGGCGCTGAACCCCCGTCCCTGGCGAGCGGAGCTTGCCAGAAGCGACGCCAGGGGGCTCCAGATCCGATGCGAGAAATCCGCGCGGAGCTCCGGAAGCTTGAGTTTGCGCATTTTTCTGTTCTTCGAACAACGGCGGTGGCGGCGGACGCGGAGGACACGACGGCGGCGGCGCCGACGGCGGCGGCGGCGACAGGGGCGGCCGCGGCGGCGGCGACGATGGCGACGGCGGCGGCGGCGGCGACGGCGGCGGCGGCGGCGGTGACGATGGCGACGGCGGCAGCGAAGGCGACGAATGACGGCGGCGGCCGCGGCGAAGACACTGCCGAGCCCGCTGGGCCGAGGCCCGCCTCGAGGGCACCGCGCGCCTCAGCACCGAGTAGCCCGGCACGCTGTAGTCGGCGCCTCTCGGCCACGGGGCCGCGCCCCCCCGTCGCCGCCGCTGGAGGCCCTCCAAATGGGGTCGTCGTCGTCGTCGTCGTCGTCGTCGTCGTCGTCGTCGTCGTGAGAGGGCCTTCCCTTCCCTGCGCGTTCGCGGCACCGTGCCCCTCATTCTGGTCCTCCCCAGTAGGGTCGAAGTAAATGGGGTCGGAGGATCGCGCCGCATCGCCGATGCATCGCCGATGCATCGACGATGCACCGGCGACGTCGGGGATAATCGGCTCAGGGGGCGTTGAGAAACTCGGGCTCCACATCGGGCCGCATCGCCGATGCGCTGGCGATGCTGCGGTATCCTCCGACCCCATCCAGGAGGCCCAGACCCTCGCCGCCGCGGCTCTTCGTCGACCGACCGATCGGTCGATCGATCGAGGCTCAAGGTTTTCGGCCTCTCAGGGCCCGCTTAGGGCTCTGGGGCCGTCGATGTCGATCAGGGGGATCAGCCGCCCAGTGTGGACTGCTGGAGGGATCCGTGGACGCGTTCCTGGGCGGCCATCGCCGCCGTCGTCGTTCTCCAGCCCGAACGGGCGGGGAGGGGGAGGACGAGGAGCACAAGGACGAGGAAGGGGACGGGGAGATGCCCTCCTCGCCTGCTTCCTTCTCCTCGTTCCCAAACATCCGACGAAATTGGGGCCGATCCCTTCCCTGGGCTGGCCAATTTTTTGGCCCGGGCCCACTTCTGCAGGTCCCGGGGCCCGTGAATATGCCCCAACGGCCGAATTCTAGGAAGCACGCCCGCATCGAAACAACCATACCGTCCGAGACTGGGCCCCCCTGGAGGCTGCGCACGTGCAAGGGCCACTCCGGCGAGGGGCCGCCCCTTGGCGCGCGGCCGCGCTCGCCCGGCGCAGGTGACCACGGACACGCGCATGCCCGGGCGGAGCACCCGCGGACGGGGGCGACCCGGGGGGACCGCCGAAGGGGGGCGGCGGCAGGAGAGCGCCGAGGCCTGCAGAGCGGCCCTGGCCGGCCGACACGGCTGTGCAGGAAGAAGGGGGGGCAGGAAGGAAAAGGGGGAGACAAAGGCGCGGGAGAAGCAGGCGAAAGGAGACGGAGCGAGGAGACGAGGGCGGAGGGAGGAGGAAGGAGGGATAACACAAATAATAGTCGGAAGAAAATGACACATAAGAAACATTCACGTACTAGATATAAGAAAAATGATCATACGAATATCAATAACAATATGAATGATGAGATGAAGAATGTTAATATTAGAAAAAACATATGATTAATCCTAATGTGAATGTGATCGGGGCCATCGCTCACTTTTAGTGCAAACGGCGGAGGGCACACGAGCTCGAGCGCCAGCAGTCGAAGCACAGACTCCACTAAAAGAATTGTTAATTCGAGTTCGCGGGGGAAGGAGACAAGGGAAAACTTGAGTAAATACGAGTACGGCCACGTGTGCGTCACAAATGCCGACAAGTCGCTGTATGTGACTGTGATCGGGGCCATCGCTCACTTTTGTGCAAACGGCGGAGGGCACGCGAGTGCGAGCGCCAACGCTCGAAGCACAGACTTCGTACTTCACGCTACTCCCACACTATGGCCACAGCCGAATCACTCTCCAAAAAAACGCTTGCATCTGGCGGCACGGGATAGACTCCGAGTGCTGACCACTATCATGCCAGTGCCTGTTTCGACCACAGAGGCGTGGGGGAACTGAGCCGAGGCACGGACGACGTGGTCAAAAGCAGGACGCCCAAGGCTCCCGAGATGCCTTCGGTGCGTGAGATCGCACACTCCGTGGGAGCAGCGGCCAAAGCAGGCGAGCGAGGCGAAATCCCGAACGCCCCATCCTACAAGTCTAAATGTGTGTCGGACTTTTCCAGAATACATGCAAGAGTCGAGGGAGCAGGCGGAGGAGGCAGAGGCAACTAGAGGGAGAAGAAGTGAAGGCTCCGAAATCAAGTTCGCCTCGGGATGCACGAGTATTTCTGGGATAGACCGGGACGCACATTCTGCGATTAGCCTAATCACAACATCCGCTAGGCAGTTGGCCGTTCGCACCCTTCTCCGATAAGGGGGAGGAGCAAAAGAGGGGGGGCGAGTAACGGCGAGTAGTGGAGCGGCAAATTGCCCACAACGCGTAAGGTACATAAATCCAACTCCTTCGCACTGCTGAGGCGCGCACCCAACCGAGCATACAGTTCAGGACGACGGGATCACCAGCGTCATCGAATTTGTGGCGAGCGAAGTTTATCGGGACGGTCCCAAGACCACGGGATGCACAAACTCTAGAGACCCTAGTGGGAGTGCACACGCACAAACAAACACAATATGGCATCACACGAGCATGCGAGCGAGCGCGGTGCCAAAGTCTTTGCAGGGAACTCCGCGCGCGCGTGGCTACCCTCGGCCGCGGCAGTCGCATTCGCGGGGGGGCCAGTTTGGCCCGCCCCTGCAGCGCGCGAAAAGCCCGCGGCAGGGGTCGAGCGCCACTGGGCATCGCTGGGAGAAAATGTACCAGGGCAACCATCGCCAGCCTGCCGGTGGCGCGGTCGCACCCGTCGAGAAACAGGCGCGCGTAAAAGACCGCAAGCACAGCATCGAGCGCCTAGCGCCCGTCGAAGTTGCGCCCTGTTCAGAACCACCATTTCTGGAACTTGGTCGCGCAAGAGAGGCAGCTCGCTTTGGTGGTCCCCGCAGTGGCAGCCACCTCCGGCGCTGGCACGGTCTCGCCCGAGCGGCAGCCGCGACCTCCCGCGGCCCGCGGGCGGCGGCGCGGCACCTTCGCGTCGGAGTCTTCGAAACTGGGGCCGACGAAGAACTCCTCCCGCGACGGCGTGTCCGCGACGTCCCCTTCGGAGGGAACCCGCCGCGCGAGCGCGCGAACATCGCCCGCCAGGGCGACGGCTGCCGGGCGGGGGAGAGCTCGCATCAGGCGGTGACTACCTGAGCGGCATTTCTCCGCATAGAGCGCAAGAGCCTAAGTGTCCACGAGGAATGCGATGCGATGGCGGTGGGGCACCCGGGACCTCGACGCGCGGTGAAGGCTGAGCCCCAGGGCATCCGCCTCGTACTGTAGGATGTTGTGGCCCATGTTGGACTACCTGCTAGTATGAATCAATCGCCTTCCAATCCTCCCCGCCGTGGACGACCTCTGGGGCCTCCAGAAACCCGCCCGCGGGCTGAATGTCGCTCGTTGGCCCGCCCATGGGTTGGACATCTCCTCGCGTGGGCTCGCGCGCGGGTTCGGCGTCCGTCGCAAGCCCGCCCGCGGGCGGGGCGTCGCGCCGAGGCCTCTGAGCGCCGCGCAAGGAGGCCGGATAATAAACGCGGATGTGGGGGTTTATTATCCGGGCCATCCCCGTCGCCGTCAGACCCGCCCGTTGGTCGGGCATCTCCTTCAGGCCCGCCCGCGGGCGCGGCGGCGGTGGCTGCGAAGGCGCGCCCTCGAACTGCGACGCTGTCTGCGCGCTGACGCCTCCGCTTCCCAGAAACCCGCCCCGCGCCGGAAACGATCGTCTGAAATCGCGTCGACGCAGACCCCCTTCCCGCGCGGCGAGGCGCCCGACGCGTAGACCCGCGGGCGCCGCGCAGAACGGAACGACGCACTCCACAATGGACAGAGGACGACAGCGCAGCGGAGCTCCAGGACGACCGAGTCCCACAGGGGAGCTCGTCGGGGCCCCGTGGCAGCGATGATCAGACGCGCAGAGTTGAACACCGAAAGAGCGCCCCTCCTCATAATCACTCCCCAAGACGCTCAGGGCCCCGCCCGAAGCCCGCCCCCGACGGACGAGAGCTAGGACGGCTTGACGATGACGGGCCAGTCGATCAGGCCGCGCTCGAATCACGCCACGCCCCCCGTCCAAGACCAAACCGGCGAAGGCCCCGCGCGAGACCGCCGAGGCGACCTCCGGCACGGGCAGCCCGCGAGGAATGATCATGTCAGCGATCGAAAGGCATCGACGGGAGGCTAACTCGGCCGACTGAGACACTGCGCAGCAGTAGTCGACGTAGCCTGCGCATGCAGCACCCTCTGGGTCTCGGAGAGGGAGGGTAGCTGATCTTCATCAAGCCCACCTCTCAAATCGCACGAGCAAGGGCACTTTGACAGACGTGAAGGGCCCAATTCCACCCCATAAGGACAGCGCACGCATGAGGCTGGATCCACGCACGGGCGCTGACTCCCTTCCTGTTGACGGACGATAGAACGAATAATATATTTGACGCCGCGGGGAGTGAGAACAGTGACCCCATCCCTGGCGGCAGCCGCAGATGGGGAAAGTCGAGCGCGTCGTCGCAGTCAAGGCCAGCCCACGAGCTCGGCGTCGGCAGACGCGTCGCGGGCGGACTACGAAAGCTGCAGAACCGCCACCCTCGTGCCGAACGCCAGCCTCAGCCTCCCGCTCGTTTTCTCTTCGGGAATTACACAGATTGAGTGAGCGGCGTCCGCTGAAGCCACTCGCCACGTTACCATGTCGTGCGACTCCAGCTGCTTCACTCAGCGTAAGACTGCGGTCTGCGTCGAAGCTCAGGATCCACGCGGGGCCGAACGACCCCCAGTGACTCGCGGAGCTCCTCTGCGACCGGCTCGGGGTTCAGCGTGCTTTGCCTCCATCCCTGCGGCGCATTAGAATCGGCGACCGAGACGACGTTGCACGGGGTCCGCCACCTCGGGCCAGGCCGCCAAGGGCAAGCAGCAGGGCCGCGCCCTGCCGCCGTCGCCAGCGTAGCCAGGTGCTTGAGCGAGCATCTCTGCGAAGGATGCTTCGCGCTCGCTGCTGCTCTCAGAGTGACCCGAGGGCAGCTCGAAGTCGCGGCGCTGGTCCGCGAGGTAGCCCGCCGAGGCCTGCCGCGCAGAAGGATCGGCCGCCCGGCAGTCATCGGCGCCAATGTCCACCTTGCCGCAACGCAGCAAGTGGACAGCGGCCAACCCCTCGTTGCACCGCTCCCGCCAGGCAGCGCCTTTGGCGGCACGAAGGCGGGCACCGCGGCCAAGCGGGGCGCGGCGGCGACCA